AATATGTATTAATCGATCTGCATTGATCCATATGTGTTTATATGCATATATATGTTGAAGGGGGGTATAAGCGTACACTAGTGTGTGGAATAAGACACACACAAATGAACCTTCGTACTCAAACCTGTTATGCAAATATAAAAATGAACCTTCAGATGACCTAGTACACAAATATATAAAAGAATGCCAATAAATTTCATTTTAGCTATTTATTTTGTGTCTCAATCAAATATGTGGCCAAAAACCACATATGGATACGATTTGTGCAGTAGAAAGCGGATACACAAGGAGACATACGGGGTCCTTTGTTCTTTTTAGATCCATGACCACCCACGGCATCCGTCATTGTTTCCAGAGGCATAATTAGTTTTAATCTTCTATTGCGCTGTACTTTGCCCTCTAGTTCGAGATTGTATATGTCTACAATCTGTTAATTAGTTTCGATTTTGTACGCACTCACAAAATATTTTAATACCACCACCACAGTTCGATCATGACAACGTAATAAATGGAAAAATAGCTGGAACCTGGAAGGCTATGGTATTTTTTGGACTATGAAAATACACACATAAGTTAATACATATACTGTCACTGATATGTATATTTATTTACATAAAATAATATTTAGCTCTAATATTCAAGACCAAGATATTATATTTTGGTATCTGTCAAATTATTATTTTATTTAAATATGTAATTTATTTACTAGTATGTGTACATATTTGAGTTCAGCAGAATTTCTTTTAAAAACGTTGAAATTCATGGCCTCCTAAAAATTGAACAAATTATACGTTTTTTAAAACATAAACCCCCGTGTTGTGAGCTTCTCACTCCCGGAGTCCCGGATACATACACACAGACAGTGACACAGTTGAAATCTAATCTCATTGCGTTTCCCGTTAAAACGCGAAAAAAAGCGTTTATGTATAACGTTTATCCTAAATATAGTTCTATGGGTTTACAAATAGGTACATTTTTGAGGCAGCCTAACTGTCACAAATTGTCCTATTTTTCACTTTGTGTCAGTTGTGAATAGTTTCATATCGCCTTTTCATTGAAAAAGGTCAACTATTCAGGTGCAAATTTGGAAAAATTTCATGGTCGATTCGCCCCCGATACACTTTAAATCGCTTAAAAAACAAAACTTTTTGCGGTTGCGTTTAGAGTTTAACGCATATAGGCAAAACGTATTGAGTTTAGGTTGAAATACTGACAACCAACGTTTGATTTGAAAACGTTTCAACGAGAAAAACTGAGGTTAGGCTCGAAGCCTCGAAGTCTCGAACCCAAGGCAAAAGTCTATTTATAGAGGAGTTGAAGACATGTCATAGCTTTTTATCAATCTGTCCATATATTTTATATATAAAGAATAGCACGTGCATATGTATGGTCGTCATTTTTATTAGGGACTATTACCATAGAATTCCTGACGTACACAGGGTTCCTTGCGAATTCTACATAAGCCACATGAACTTGGATAAGCGTACACGTATCCAATATAGAATCATCCACGAACGTAACTAATCAACCACCTTTCTGTTAAGTTAATACTCAGTCACGATGCCAAACGCTGATAATGATGACGACGGCTTGGTGTTAAACCTTGGGTCGAACATCGATCAAGGGCCACTATACAGGGTATGATTTTATAGAATGCGACAGGATGTGTCTTGAATCTAGTACG